GGTGGCTGATTTCCTCTCTCGCTCGCGGGGGGGAGTAGGTTCGGCTGGTGGGCTTCCCGGCCTCAGTCGGGCGGTGGGGGTGTGTGGCGGAGGTGTGGTCCGGGGCGCGGCTGCAGGGGAGGAGTGGTGCAGTGAGCTCAACGGGGCGGTGCTGGTAAGAACAGCTGATGGCGATTTTGGACTGATGGTGGTTTTCCTTTCCTTTATATAGTGAGGTGGAGAGGAGCGGAGGGGAGAGACGCTGGGGAAACCGACCGCTGTCAGACGGTGTTCTGTTGTGATTCAGTGCACACTCTTAATAAATGTGGGATCTGATGACAACGACCTGTGTGTGGGTGTATCTGTGCCTAGCGTGTGTCACACCAGTCACATTCCCTCGCATGGAATTGACGGCAGCAGTGGTAGCAGTTCGCATGGATAGAATGTGGAAGAGGGAATTGAGACTACCTCTCCTAAACTCTGTGTTTTGGATAGAGATGGACCGATCCGATATTACGTATCGGTATCGGTCCGATACTGACCTAAATTACTGGATCGGATATCGGAGAAAAATAAAAAATGTAATCCGATCCATTAAATATCACGAAAGCACCTCACAAAACTTGCAACATGCCGTAACTCACCTCAGAACGTTAGCACATCGGAGCAGTATGCATCACGTGATAGAGCAGCTGTGGCATGCCGAACCTGTTGGTGGTCTGGATAGCATGTGGAGCTTCGCTAGCAACCTGGCATTTCATCTCCGACAAAGTTATCCCGAGAGAAGTAAAGCAAGTGTGTAAGTCCATCTCTGAATGTTTGTAAAGCATTCCTGCGTTAAGCTTAACAAGCGACTGCCTCTCGCTCTCCGGCTGCTACTTCAATCGTGAAACTGCTTAAATCAGCTGATCGGCTTTTCTGTCGGAGTCTGTCTCTCGTTTGTTTTTGGTCCACTTTGCACCAGAAAGATGAAACCAGCGGCTGAACAACAGCAGCACGTTTAAGCTTGATAAGCTGTTGTTAGAATTTATTTAATATTAATTTCTACACCAGGATCTTTTTCTACGTAGCTGAGTAACTGTGCAGGGGCGGATCTAGCAAAGTTTAGCCAGGGGGGCCGATAGGGCATGAACAGGGAAAAGGGGGCACAAAGACATACTTTTCTTTCTTATTCTCATTTAAAATGTCTAGCTTTTAATAAATAATTATCTGACACCCAAAGTTTTAATTTGATGTAAAATGAATAGAAGTCAATTACTGTACATAGTGACTATTAAGTCTAATATATATACCCTAGTAAGCCATACTACTTTTTCCTTTGGGAAGGTACCATCTGTGCAGTCTGCAATTTTGTTGAAGAAAGATGTTGAATCTATTTAATATTTCTTGAAAAATAATTGATTTCTGTGCATTTTTTTTCACACTGCATCAAATTAAGGTTGATTACGTCGATTAAGCATCATGAGGTGGAGCGTGAGGGGTGGTTCCCTATTTTTTATTTATTTATTTTTGTTGTTGCTGGGAGTTGGAACCCTATTAGTTAGGTTGCTTAATATTTACGCTAAGTACTCTTTAAAATACCAGAATAGGGAGGATGGTGTAGGTCTAAGTTTATTAGATTGATCAGTATTGCTGAACTATGAAATATTTTTTTTGTATACAGGTATAACAGAATAGCTTTAGTGTAGTTGTTGTTTTAAACTTGAGTATGAACTTGCAGACTTGCAAAATGCAGCAAGATATTTTAAAAAACAGTTTTGTTGATTAAAAAACACTATATCGGATTCATATCGGTATCGGCAGATATCCAAATTTATGATATCGGTATCGGTATCGGACATAAAAAAGTGGTATCGTGCCATCTCTAGTTTTGGAGGGACAGCACCACAGTGTTGAAATATATAAACAATGAGACTTCTAGGTTCCATGTTTTTGTGGCAAACAGAGTGTCAGAAATCCTCAAGGCTTCAAGTGCCTCCCAATGGAGGTATGTGAGCACCACACATAATCCTGCGGACCTTTCCTACAGAGGTATGAAGGCAGAGACCTTTTCACGTGACACTGAATGGATATCTGGTCCTGCGCTCCGACAGTGGGACCAACTTTGTGGGCTGAGACAAGCTATGGTAGAGTGGAATCAGGAAAAGATCTCTGATGCTCTGTCTTTGAAGGGAGTGAAATGGATCTTTAGTCCTCCACCTGGATCGCATCATGGCGGCGCATGGGAGAGGTTGATTCATTCTGTCAGAAAGGTCCTTAATTCCACTCTGCACACACACCGTTTGGATGAAGAAGGGCTCCACTGCTTTTTGTGAAGTGGAGTCAGTCCTCAACAGTAGACCCATTACTGTGGAATCCACCGATCCAAATGATTTAGAAGCCTTACCACCAAACCATCTCCTCCTTCTCAAGTCCAACCCGTGTTTACCACCTGGCCTGTTCCAAAGAGATGATCGCTACACACATAAACGATGGAGACAAGTCCAATATATATATCTGACCTGTTTTGGAAAAGATGGACTAAAGAATACTTACCACAACTTCAGCAGCGCCAGAAATGGGGAAGGATTAAACGCAACTTTGTTCCTGGAGATGTGGTTCTCATAGTGGATGACTCTGCACCTCGTGGTTCTTGGACCATTGGCAGAGTCACAGCAGCTGTGCCTGACAAAAGGGGCCTTGTACGTCATGTCTGGATTAAGACCCCAACCAGCCATGTGTGCAGACCCGTCACAAAGATATGCCTTCTTCAGGAGGCCTCTGACCCATGACGATGACAATTTGGCACAGCGTGACATAACTAACTTTGAATTGACTTTAATGTTATGAGATGTACATCACAGACTGACTATATTTAGGCTAAGTGCTGGTAACCTTTGGCCTATGACTGACCGTCCATGTGCAGACAGAAGAAAAGAAGAGAAGAAATGAGAAAATAGCTTTTTTTTTGAGTATGTTATGCTGTCTCACTGGGTGTCTGTGATATAATGAAGTGTATGTCTTGAGTTATGGTGTTGGATGTGTAATTGTCATTGTAAGAATGTAATAATTAGGGGCCGGAATATTGTGGATAGGCGTAGCTTTGGGTCATGTGGTGTTGGTAATAGTACTAGTGATTGCTATATCATCTGTTCACGGCCCGAGGGAATTTTTGTGAATGAGTTGGAAGTCGACTTTTGCTGACCGCTCAAGCCTGGAATGTTTTTTATCACTGTTTTTCTATGGGTTTTAAGGATTTTGATAATAAATAAAGGAGTTTTTAAACTGGAACTTTGACTTGCGTTTTGAACAGGGGGTGCGTCAACATTATTCCCCCATTCAGCTGCTCGGCGACTCAAAGGCTTGATAGTCGCCAATAATATCTATATACTAGACTCCAATTTGTTAATGTAAATGGAGAGTCCTCTTCATACACTAAGGTCAACTATGGTGTTCCATAGGGTTCAGTGCAAGGACCAATTCTGTTTACATTATACATGCTTCCCTTAGGCAGTATCATAAGAAGACCGGCATAGCATTTTCACTACTATGCCAGTGACACCCAACTTTATCTGTCCATGAAGCCAGATAACACACAAGTTTAACTTTTCCAATTAGTTAAACTGCAGGAATGTCTTAAAGACATAAAGACCTTGATGGCCGCTAACTTTCTGCTTCTTAATTCAGATAAAACTGAGGTTATTGTACTCGGCCCTGAAAACCTTAGAAATATGGTATCTAACCAGATTCTTACTCTGGATGGCATTACCTTGGCCTCCAGTAACACTGTGAGGAACCTTGGAGTCATTTTTAATCAACATGATGAACATGTCCTTCAATGCACATATTAAACAAATATGTAAGACTGCTTTCTTCCATTTGTGCAACATCTCTAAAATTAGAAATATCCTGTCTCAGAGTGAAGCTGAAAAACTAGTTCATGCATTTATTACTTCCAGGCTGGATTACTGTAATTCATTATTATCAGGATGTCCTAAAAACTCCCTGAAAAAGCCTTCAGTTATTCCAAAATGCTGCAGCAAGAGTCCTGACAGGGACTAGAAAGAGAGAGCAGATTTCTCCTGTATTGGCTTCCCTTCATTGCCCCCCCCCCCCCCCCCCCCGCCCCCCCTTTAAATCCAGAATTGAATACAAAATCACATACAAGGTCTTAAATAATCCGGCCCCATCTTATCTTAATGACCTTGTAGTACCATATCACCCTATTCGAGCACTTCGCTCTCGCACTGCAGAACTACTTGTTGTACCTAGAGTGTTTAAAAGTAGAATGGGAGGCAGGGCCTTCAGTTTTCAGGCCCCTCTTCTGTGGAACCAGCTTCCAGTTTGGATTTAGATTTGATTCTACTCTTAAGATTAGGCTTAAAACTTTCCCTTTTGCTAAAGCATTTTGCTAAAGGGCTGGACCAGGTGACCCTGAATCCTCCCTTAGTTATGCTGCAATAGACGTTGGCTGCTGGGGGATTCCCATGATGCATTGAGTTTTTCTTTTCCAGTCACCTTTCTCACTCACTATATTATAATAGACCTCTCTGGATTGAATCGTACCTGTTATTAATCTCTGTCTCTCTTCCACAGCATGTCTATATCCTGTTTTCCTTCTCTTACCCCAACTGGTCACAGCAGATGGCCCCATCCCTCCCTGAGCCTGGTTCTGCCAGTTTTGTGATTTTTAAATTACGGTGATTATTTTATTAACACAAATCCTGTGAGGTGTAAAACTTCCTAATTTATTTTTGCCACCAGGGGTCACTGTTGGCTTCAATACAACATTTAGCATGAAATAAAAGTTTTGTTTTGCTCTCTTTATGAAGAAGAACCAAAGCATCTGAAAATGTAAACTACGAAGAAAAATAGTTTCAATTCCTAAATAACTTCGTAATAATTTTGTTAAACTTCATGAACTGAAGCAAAAATTGTTTCTTTATCCCAATACTTATGGACCCAGATGTCTCATTTTTACATCTGAACCCCCCCCTATCCGATTTAAAACCTGTTACACTAAACATGGAAAAGACAAAGGATACAACAGATAAAATATTTTTTTATTTGTGTCCTGATAATATGACTTCAGCTAAAACACATTTGCAATATGATTAACATCGTAAAGACAGAAAGAAAAAATAAAACAAAGCAAACTCTGCAGGAAGCTTTATAATGCCTATCTTGAGACAAACTTCTTCCTAAGAATACTCAGGCCAGTCAGTGGTCAGAGCTTATTCATCTCAATGGTGAGTGTCTTCTGCCAGAAATAGATGATCACCAACACTGAAAGACAAACAGTAACTCACTTAAACTGAAACACCATCCATAAAGTGGAGAAGAAAGATTTTCTATTATTTCTGCTGAAATCAAAGTGGAAAGTGGTGTAAAACCATCATTTTGCCTAAGATTGTCTAATAATCCGTAAATGTAGAAAAGAAACAATTCTCTCACTTACCTGCAATAACACAGGGTATCAGCATGAAACGTAATATCTGCAGGGCTTCGTGTAACTGGGAATCAAGCCCAAGACTTACTGTCCTGTCACCATAATTTATCTACAAAATAAAGAGAAACATTTTACAGAGAGAGTTCTCACCAGAGCAACAGGCCAAAAATTGTTATTGTATGCATAAATATCATTTTGAAGTTTGAAAGGCAACTGTTTGTTACCAATACAGATGAAAAAGTCTGTTTGCCCTCAGTTTCAGGTTTCTCCTCTAGAAAACATCAAACTGAGAACTTTGATGTTGTCATCTCCACAAAGAAAGGATGTTTTCTAAAGAACACCTCACCTCACCTCACCATACATTTCAATTCAATTTTATTTATATAGCGTCAACAAGTTCGGTTTGTTTTTTTCCGGTGATACTTATCTAGCTGGGGGTAGCATGAAAGAAAGATTTACCAGCAACTCCTCAAATTCAGGGTTGGTTAGTCTTTTAATCTCACAGATGAAAGAGTCAGAGTTGTTACTGGTTTCTTTGGCTTTCATGATGCACTGGTATTCCGTATTGTCTTGAACGCCCCACGCTGATAACTCATCTATCATCATCTCCAGCTTGTCTGTCTTTTTCTAAATGAAGAAAAACAAAGGCTAGCTGTCACATGTTTGTATATGTATGAAAATTAAAAAAAAAAAAAAAACTAACCTGAATGGTGATGCGCACATCTTCCCCTGTCCTTATAACTGTGAAGCTGGTAAACTCAGGGTCTGGATAGTAGGGGAGTTTAATGGAGCAGGCCAAGGTTTCATTGGCTACTTTGACAAACATAGTGCTGCTAGAAATGCTCCCAGCTGCAGGTGAATTGTAGGTGAGATACTGCAATGAAATTAAATAAACAGAAAAGACAGCATGACATGACTAAAGCAGGACATAAGATTATGACATGCGTGTGTCAGATGTCCACATCCGAAATGTTCAGAGCTCATGTATGAAAACATCTTGATGTCATTTCAAAGGCACATTGTTTGTGTCTACAGACCAACCTCAGAGCTGATGTTTCTGGGAAGTCTGACATCCTGCATTGCGTGGCTGTGGAAGACCCCTTCAACAAAGTTAAGGTGAGACCCCATGAGTGTGATCTTCCTCTTCCCACTGCAGGACAGGAAGCGGGCTTTAGTCAGAGCAGAGGGACTGCAAGGAAAAAAATCATCTGATCCCACACTCCTTTCAAACAGTTAGCATAACCCACATTTTTGTCAATTCTCAACAGTGTGAATTATTCAAACTGTGTTTTAAACATGATTTGATAGAGTAGTGAGAGATGTCCAAAAACATTTCCTCCAGATTTAACAGTTTTCATTTAATAAAGATCTTTTTATGTTTAGATGTTACTGTTGTTTTCAGCTTGATTAAAAGCTCACTAATAGGAGTTATTGCTATCTGGGACTGATCCAACATGAAAGCATAAGCAAGGTCTGGATGAGAATGAAGGCACGATCATTCACATACGTGCACAGGTAGGGGAAGGAGTTGTAGGAGGTAAAGAAGATGCCAGTTTTATACTAGTAAAAATATTTCACTGGAAAATTAAGAGCTCTCCACACGTAGGCTGCAGTCTGAACACTGAATCATTATTTTAGCATAGATAATATGCCTGTAAACTAAAGTGTGTGATGGACTCAGAAGCTAAAAAGTACCCCACGTATTCATTCTGCAGACAGCAGAGCAAAAAAAAAGAAAAAAGGCTGGTGACTGAGGCTGCAGAGCTCAGAGGTGTGGACTCCAACAGGAAGTAGTCGGGTGACAGATACTGCTTTCTCAACCATGAGGTTCAGTAAAAGCGGAAGAGGTCAAACCAATGCAAAAGCTTCCTTCCTCTTATGATAAATATCTCTGTTCTCTCACAGCAGGATGTAGCAGCACGTGATACTGCACACAAAAGACACACACACATGTACTGTTTCTTTGGTCAAAACACTTTCTGAGACATTAGCAGATAAACGTTCTGTATCTTCTGTGTTTTTTAGGTTTCAGCAAAACTGAACATACCTGATCCAGCTGCTGCTTGGAGTAATATTGGTGCATGATGGTAATGAGCTGTAGGTGATTTTAGCTTTGCCATGGCAACGACCATCTGGGAGGAGAAGACATACGTTGACCACGCCTTTGATATTTGAACTGGGAATGTGGAACGTCAGACTGAAACCAGTGTTGTCCCAAATGGAAGATCTGACCAGAACACAAAGAGAGAAACAGAGTCACTAACATCATCACAACATGCAGAAAACCCCAAGAAAGACTAAAGCTGAGCAGCAAGGTCTTCCTTAAAATTATCAAATTGTGTGTTTTTATGAGTTTAACACGTCTTTGATTTCATTTGGATTACAAAGTAAACAGTAAATCCAGATTTAACCCTTTCACACACAGTGGCCACTACAGTGGACAGCTAGTCAAAGGCTGTTTTTTTTTGTATTTGTTTCAGTGTTTATGGTATACTTGCACATAAACACAACAGACAGTGCATATTATTTATTTGTTTGTCAAATTCATGAATCAAAATGTATGTTGTCCACCTAAGTGGACATGTAAAGAACTCTTTGAAAAGTACATGTTTAGAAAAATGAAGTTCAAAAGTCTTTTTTTCCATGTCTAATGATGAATAAAAATACTTAAGAAAAAAATCCTAATTGTGGTTGTCATAATTCATGCAAAAACGGGTCAATGATTGATTTTGTAATCGTATCACAAGACCGGAGGCCATATGTTTTGGACACTCGGGTAAAGAGAGGGGCTGAGCTGTCAACTGATCACCACCTGGTGGTGAGTTGGATCAGGTTGTGAGGGAGGACGCTGGACAGACCTGGTCAGAATCAGAATCAGAATCAGAATGGGGTTTATTGCCAAATGTTGAGCAGGTTTACAACATTAGGAAATTGCTGCGGTGCTTCAGTGCAAACATAGTGTCATAAATAGCACTTAAATAGACATGAGAAAATAAAAGTAGGAATAAGAATTAAAAGTGCTATGTAGAAAGATATGTGCATGAGATATACATGAGATATATACATGAGAATAAGAATTAAGAGTGCTAAGTAGATAGATATATACATGAGTGCAGGTGGTGATCAGTGACAAACATGGAATGATGCAGTGACACAGCGTAGGGTCATGTGTTAGTGGCAGGAACAGTCATACGGTTATTGTTCATGAGTCCAACAGCAGAGGGGAAGAAACTGTTCTTATGGCGTGAGGTTCTGGTGCGAATGGACCGGAGCCTCCTGCCTGAGGGAAGCAGGTCAAACAGACTGTGTCCAGGGTGAGAAGGGTCAGCTGAGATCCGAGCTGCACGCCGCAATGTCCTGGAGGTGTACAGGTCCTGCAGAGATGGGAGTCTGCAGCCAATCACCTTCTCAGCAGAGCGCACAACACGCTGCAGTCTCTGTTTGTCCCTGATAGTGGCTCCAGCATACCACACGGTGATGGAGGAGGTGAGGATGGACTCGATGATTGCAGTGTAGAACTGCATCATCGTCCGTGTTGGCAGGTTGAATTTCTTCAGCTGCCTCAGGAAGTACATCCTCTGCTGGGCTTTCTTGATGACGGAGGTGATGGTGGGCTCCCACTTCAGGTCCTGGGTGATGGTGGTACCCAGGAAGCGGAATGAGTCCACAGAGGTGATGGGGGTGTCAGTCAGGATGATGGGGGGGAGTGGGGCTGTGTGCTTCCTGAAGTCCACAATAATCTCCACTGTCTTCTGGGCATTCAGCACCAGGTTGTTGTGGCTGCACCAGGACACCAGACGTTCAACCTGGTGTCCTGGTGGGAAATCCCATCACTAGTCGCCCCTTCTCCCAGGCGGAAGTGACGTCCACACTGCCGTCAGTTACCGGCAGATTCAGTGAGTCAAGAACAGTGTTTTTGTTTTTTTCTGCTCCATCTGAGCCTGCATTCACGAACACTGTCAGTTATTCCTGAGTCTAGAAATTCAATGCCAGTTAACTCAGGTTTATTCAAATTTGAAAAGATTAATTTAGAAACAGTTAATACTTTGTCAAACACTTCAAAGTCTGTTAACACCCGCTCTGAGGATTTAAAGGACTACTTTCATTTTGCTTCTTCCGAGTCCAGTGTTATGCTAACCAGGACTTTTAGTCCGAAATCTGAAAATGAGAAGGACTATCTACTGACTGCTCAGTCAGAGCGTGGAACTCTTCCCACAAAGACTGGTTCTTCAATGTCTGCAGCTCAGTTAGCCGCCCGGCCAGAAGCTCAGTCTCCAACTCCACCACCGTTGTCATCCCAACCATTATTTCAGTCGCCCTCAGTTCAGCCTCATGTTCAGCAGCCACTAGCCCTGCGTCACTTGCTCCTCCTGTACAACAATTCAAGTCAATTCAACCTGAAGTGAATTGTTTTTCATCCATCCATTCTAAGCAGAGAGACAAACCCATTAAAACTTATCATTCCTCAAAAGCTGTCCAGTTCTGAGACTATGATGCACTCCAGGGCCTCCCCAGAGGCTGGGGTTCAGCCCCAGCAGACTCTGGACCCCTGGAGGTTAAGAAGCCAGCTGAGGACTGCACCCGGCTGTCGCTGCCTGAGCAGAGTCAATGCTCCGCGCAGCTGCAGTCTGCTATGTGTTTGCCAGAGGCCACCGTGCCTGCTGGTTCAGCCCTGCGTGTGCCAGGGGCCCCTGTGCCCACTGGTTTTGGGACTGTTTTTGCTGAGTGGCCCGAGGAGCCCATCCAGCAACCTGCCTCGTCAGCTGGGGGGCCCGAGGAGCCCGTCCAGCCACCAGCTGCTCTACCATCAGCTTCACCCACGCTGTCGCCTGGTCCAGCGGCAGCCTCTTGCGCCTCGCCTGGTCCAGCGGCTTCAGCTACATAGATCACTTAAATTACACAAGCACTCATATATATTCAAATAATTTAAAAAAAAACATGTTCATTTACCTGTTACTACCACACACCAAATCCGGTCGTTCTTAATTGCTGGCTTGTGTAGCCTCTAGCTAACAAAAGCTCAACACTGCGCCTAGCATCCTGGAGCACTTCTGTTGTCTTTTGTTTTGGAGTTTGTACGTGCTTTGTCTCTAGGGGCCAGCGTAAATATACTTTTATTTATTCACGCCACATAAAATGTAATAAATAAATCATTTAATACAGAAACCAACTATTCACATTTCAACTTTTAACTACTTAAATTTTCAGCTTTTTCCTTTTAAACAAATTTAAAATGAAACAACACAAAACACTGCAAACCACAACACCATTAAATATAAATTAAAATATGAAAACAAAAAGAAGATGCACATTCTCTGTCATATGGGCCTGCATGAATAAACTTTCTGAATCCTTTAACATCCACAACTATGATTACTATACCTTTCTAATGTGACGTTGTTGTCCCTGGCTCTCTTTCTCTCTTTCCCTCCTGCTCTGTTCCTGCGCTACTGCGAGTGTAACTACCACCCCTCCCCCCTCATCCCAGGGAAAGCACAAGGCTCGCGTGCGGAGTGAAGTGGAAAAAAAGTGCGAGAGAGAGAGATGGTGTGAGAGAGAGAGAGGGTGAGAGAAGGGAAAAACAAAAAAACACGGCTTGCAATAAGGAGCCGGCTCGCGTCGTTCACGTCAAAGAGCCGGCTCTAAGAGCCATTTCGTTCGCGAGTGACACATCACTAGTGTAAAGTGACTCACTCTTTTGGAGTACAGTCAGTATCGGCCTGCATCCTCACTGCAGTCACATTATCGAGGTTACGACCTGACAGCACTGCGTGGTTTCTACCGTAGAAAGACACCACACTGGGAGTGATGGAGGAGATCTCTGGGATCTGACAGTAAGACAAAAAATGATCAGCTTTAATCCACGGCCATCAGCTGATGTTGGAAGCTTTGAACACGAATAAGGTGTCAGAGGAACAATGAGTTTGAGGACTGAGGTTCAGACTCACAGAGAAGTTCTTCCCAGACTGCACATTTTGGCAAACGCTGTCCTGCAGGAGGAAGCAGAGGGAATCAATATGGCAGGTTTACTGTCATTGTCTAAAGAAACTATGTAGGACTGATGAGAATGGAAGTTCTGTCTTATTTACAAGGAAAGAATTTAATCACGATTTTTGTCAAGCAACTGAATTGGTATTTGTGAGTTGTCATAATCACTTAACATATTATTGCATATAATATTGCTGCTTTTGAGAAGCAATAGATATTTGAACATTAGACCAACCCACCCTTAATAATGATTGAAAAATCTCAAAAGTAATATAAACTTAAAGTGGAAGACTTAATTATATGATAAGATAGACTTTCTTATTCCCAAAAGTAGATTTAAAAAAGATACATCAAAATAGCCTAAACATGTAGAATGGTATCAGCGAAATAAAATTAAAACAAATATGTTAATGAGGAAAAACCTGAACTAGGTAAACTAAAGGCATGAATTATTACATTGATCTCTGTTTGATCGGCCCAGGAACATCTGTTTGTGTTCCATCCACAACCAGCTTTGATGCACTGCTGACACCTGAAGAGAAACAATCACATATTAGTGTTGAAATCATCAAGAAAACGATAATGTCCAAAAATACAACATAAAACAAAGAGACTCCTCAGTAGTAATACATTTTACTTGGTGATGACACATAATGTTGTGTTATTAGTGATCCATCTTCATAATCTTTATAATTGATTGGACTTACAAGACTGAACTTGGTGGTCCACTGATGTCAGAGCAGTTAGTCAACCTCAGCTGTTCTGACAGTTGTGTTGAACCAAGTCTAAATTTCACTGTGACATGCAGACCTGTTAAATAAAATAAATAAATAAAAAAAACATGATCAGTGTCATAGCCTTCAATTGCTAATTTTTAGACATATATGTTTAATGAGTTGCAACAGTTTGTAATAACGAACAGCTCAGATTTGTCAACTAGTAAAGAATATTTCATCTGTCAGAGTCAGCTCTGTAATGTTTCTATTTTGCTTTTTGGGAAGTGTTGCAGATCAGTAAGCAGGTCTGACTGCAAAGTATTTCATTCGTTGGATTATTTATGAAAACTCACTGACCATCAGCAGGAAGTGTACGATCAGACAGGATGCAGGTGCATTGTGGGAACTGTGGAGGAGGGTTATTCAAAGCACAAATCGAGCTGGACCTTGCAGTGAACTGACAGGTAAAGTTGGACGACACTTCCTGGCCCACAGTCAAGTGTGTGTGGATTTTTAGTAAAATCTGAAAATGAAGAACATGTGTGAGAAATACCTGAAAGCCACAAATGATTGCAGTCCCGAGTGTGTTTGTAAGCTGTACCTGTCCGTTTGTGTCCTTTTCAACTTTGTGGGAAATCATTTTGTGCTGGGACTCATCAGGAATGGACAGCCAGTCTGAATCTGTGCAGTCATCTTCAAATGTGCAGCTAGGAGAAGAAGGAGAAATGATCACCAAGTTCAGAATAGTTTGGAGACATCAGCTGCAGATGTTGTTTCTCTCACCTGCTTTTAGAGCCACACCAACCACAGTATGGATCCTGTGCAGACCAACACTCCTGCACATTTGTGTACGTGCTGCACTTTGACACAGGAACTCGCCTTATCTAGAACAACAAACACTTTAAAATGCAACACAGGTACATGTGACATTAAGATAATCAGTAAATAATTTAAGTACCTGGTTTCTAAATGGCACATACACATGTTTATGACCCACTGGATCCAGATGTAATTTGGGAAACACTTTGCGATCATCACTTGTCCTGTAGAGCACCGTGGGACAGGCAGCGTGATAGTTCCTGTCCACAGACAGCTGACAACAAGAATTTGTGAAAATAAGAATTCACGTTTTTATGTTTAATGAACATTTCAATTGCTTATTTTTCTCTGACCACTATCTTCCAAATGAAAGGCTGTTTATTTTAAGTTTTCCCTCGTTCATAAGAAGTTCTCATGTGTTTGTGCTGCTTGGATTCAGTGTCATGCTGATATCTGCTGTATATGTTGTGAAACAGTCGGTATTTCTTATCTGTAAAACAAACTTTCCGACTTAATCACAAACTGTGATCAAAGAGTCGATATTAGGGCTGGGTATCGTCACTGATTTCTAGAATCGATTCAATTCCGATTCACAAGGTCCCGAATCGATTCGATCCACGATTCGATTTAATTCGATTTGATTCGATTTAAATCTGGGAAATTTTGACAGTCAGAGATATAATTCAGATCAGGACATTTACATATTTTTGTATCTATAAAAAGGAAGCTGACACTCTCAAGACTTTATCCAAGGTGTGAGCATCACAGCAGATGCCTTTGTGTCAAAGTAGCTGAAGATAAAACACAGAAAAACATGTAGGTGATTTTCCTGGCCTGGGATTTTATAAAAATATTCTGCAGTACATCAAAAACGAAAGAAAACCATTAATTAATCAACATTACCTCTGACGTTACAGCGGTTTTATTAGAGACATGGCTAAGCATTTTGCATTTTGAATAATTTTAAAAAGTTTCAATTTGTTCAGTATTGAACAGCAGAAATGAGGTTTTCTTTTCGGAAGAATGTAAAAGGGGAAAAAACAGCGGCCGACAGCGCTGTAAGCAACAGTAGACTTGTGTAACAAGCAAGCGAATAATGAAGAAAGCGAAACTGTTCGAGAGAGGGGGGAGGGGGAGGGAGAGAGGGAGAGAGAGCTGCGCATCGCAATGGAAGCAAAACAGTAAAAGAGTGAATTCATGACAATGTTTATGTGAAGCGTTTGGATCTTCTTTTGCTGCTGATTCGGTCAATATTGTTTGGAGAGAGATCAAACTAACTGCTTTAGAATCAGCGCATAAAGGGCGTGAACACAAAGCGCGGACCCGGATCAGCGAGCTGTCGGCTTTCAGCCCCGACTGTGAGAAAGGCGACATCTAACTGATTCTGATCCGCGGGTCGCGCTGTGTGTTTAAGTCTATGTGCAGAATCCCTGTACCTGCTCTCATTTACTGTTTGGTGGTTCTTGAAATTTTGTGAGATGTCACCAGAGATTCTGGCATTTCGGACAAAATAAATTTATATTAAAAAATCGATTCAGGATTTTAATGAATCGATTTTACGTTATCCAAGCCAGAATCGATTTTAATCGATGAATCGATTATAAAAACCCACCCCTAGTCGATATGACCGAAAAACTCAAACCATGACAACATCCCTCTCAGCTTGTTTCTCTATCTCTTGCTCTCGTCATCCATCCATCCATTCGCTTCCGCTTATCCTTTTCAGGGTCGCGGGGGGCGCTGGAGCCTATCCCAGCTGTCATAGGGCGAGAGGCCGGGTACACCCTGGACAGGTCGCAGGGCCAACACACAGGGACAGACAACCATTCGCACTCACTTTCATTCGCACATTCACACCTAGTGACAATTTGGATTATGCAATTAACCTGTCCCCACAAGCTGCATGTCTTTGGACGGTGGGAGGAAGCCGGAGTACCCGGAGGGAACCCACGCAAACACGGGGAGAACATGCAACCTCGCTCTTGTCATATTCAATAAAATACTTGTTGAAGCTTTTTGAGCTTTCAGGGTCACAGCTCTCATCTCTCCACTCCACAAACAAAACCTTGCAGTGTGTGAGCAGATGAACTCACAGTGAGACTAAGAGCACACAAAGAAGCTACAGGGACCACAAGTGACTGCAGTTTGCAGCAGACTTCAACAATGAAATAAAATGAGACTAGTTCAAATAAGCAAGCTAAAAAATCATGAATAATTTGCCTCTTAAAAAGTTTTGGTTTTTATTTATCTTGGGTCAATGGTTGTTCGTGATTTTATGAATAGATGCTAATTCAACAAATATATTTTGGTGACAGAACTATCTTTCATGTTTGTTTCATGTGAGGAACCCAGTGCATTTCAGGATGATGAAATGGCATCTTAAAATCAGGCTGGTAAACTAAGTACTTTAGATGTTTCATTTCATACACACCTTAATGAGCTGGCCGTCTCCTGTCCCAATGAAGAAAACCATCCAGCCTCTCTGCCTCACTGCCAGCACAGAGGTCATGTAGCTGTGCCTGAAGAGGACTGCCTTAGGTTTTAGGATCTTTGGCTGAGAAACAAACACACTGATCATCAAATCTGATATTGTAGATATGTTAAGATTAGAACTCAAGATGGTTAAAATAGAAATAAGTTGTATTCCCTCCAAACCTAATGAAGTGCTTTAAATCTATGAACCCAAACAGCATATTCATTAATTGTGTTTACACCTTGAGAAATCACATACTCAGCTTGAAAATCATTCAAATATGATTTAATGGTGAATAAACTGAATCAACTATGATGCAATTTTCTTATATATAATTAAAGAATGTGCTATTTCAAGGGTTCACAGAATTTCATGAAGTATGGGAGTAACTATTATACAGATAATGAATCTTTATGAAGTCACATGAGAGCAATGACCACAACTGACATCTGTCACCACAGCAGCACCTCTGCTAGTGACTAATTAACTGACCTCTCACTAGGAGCATGATAGTGTGGGGACAGTGGCACTGAGAATTTAGAGACCCATTGATATGAGGAACCGTGGTAATGTAGGGATGGAAAGTGTCTTTTTGTTTGCATTTTTAAAAATTATTTCCAAGTAATCACTGTTATGGTTAGAACGGCGTGGTGGAGTGACTGAACTATAATTCCAAAAAGGTAACGGCTCTTTCATACCGCCTTCACCCTTTACAAATGATAAACAGTAGTTTAGTCCATTTCGTAGTGGGATGTGCCTCCACATCACAGAAACAAAGCAACATCTGGGTATCAAAGAAAAAAAAAGTAGAAGTCAAAGCAAACTGATCAGCAGCCGTTACGATGGCAAAATATTGTAACACAAGGGGAACTCCTACAGAAGCAAATAGAAGTTTTTCCAAGTAATGATTTGTACTCTCAGCAGTTTCAGCTGAAGGTTTAGCATCACTGAGACCAAGCAGCATTTTGCTTCAGGATGGTGAAGTGCTATTTTTAAAATATTATTTCATTGTATATTTCTAATATTACATTTTTTTACATTTCAAAGTTTGTCATAAATCAGAAAACTTTATTGTAGGACAGAAAACTAACCTCCAGTGCAATGGTTGATTTTAATTTCTTTTTGTTAAAAATATAAAATAAAAAGATTTGAAACTGATGTTGATCAAATAGTGATGAAGTCAAACATCATTCAGTGAAACTCAGTTTGTTTGTCACATGCACCAGCAGACATACCAGCAGCTTAAATAATTCAGACTCCTTTTTCTTGTGTCTTCAGTAAAACTTTTGAATTTCTTTGATTTTGTGTAGAAATTAACAGAGATATTGTTTTTTAAACCGCTTTTTGCCTCATATTTTCTATCTATCTTATTTTTTTATTATGGTAATTATTGGCTTCTCCTTTTTATATTCATAAAAATACAAATATGAATTCATTTACTATATGTATTTTTACATTATATAAACCTATTATACATATATATATGTATAATAGGTTTATATATATATATATATATATATATATATATATATATATATATATATATATATTTCTTTTTTTTTTTTTTACGGGAAAGTTTGAGCCTAACATTAACTGTTTATGTGAAGTAGCAGACTGAGTCTGAATCGATTGATGTTTCTAGTTTTGTGACCACACTGTGTGATAAAGTAATCTGCCTCTCTGTGAACATTTTGCTTTCATGATTGTCCACGTGAAAATGTGGAGGCACAGGTGGAAACTACATTCAGGAACCATTCAGAACATGTTTAGAAGTTATACAGCGACCCACCGTCACTTCTGATGGCACAGAGGTATAGAAGTCTGGATCTCTGTCGGTGTTCCTGCTGTAATCAGGGCTGATGTCAAACACCATCAGCTTGGTGTCGGTATCTCCTCCATCCACACTGAACACGCCGCTCCAAAGCACCGGCTGCTCCCCCGGGATGACCGAGGAGGCCACGAGTCTGCTGCTGTCACCGTCAGAGACACTGAGAGTTGCGCCCCGCAGAGACTTGAGTGTATCAGTTTTGCTTTTTTCGCCTTTGAGCCAAATGAGACGGACTCTGTTTGTTTGAGCTGAGAGCGCGTTGGAGAACAGATAGATGGTTGAATTAAGCTGAAACCCGTCAACAAACTCCACATCACCTTTACTTGTGATCTGAGGTGTGCCTGAAGCTCTATCAGTTACAGAAAATATACCTCCACCTTGTTTGTTATCTGTATTTTGAAGGTTGATAGTCTTCTGATTGACACCACACTTGTTGTTTTCGGGCTTTTCTCTGTTTTGTTGGATCGCGGTCAGAATGTAAGTGTCAGTCTGAGTTTTCTTCTTCACATCCACCAGAAAGCTGACTGACCTGCTGCTGCTTTTCAGAGGTCCCACCTGGATGTGTTCTCTGTACAGAAGGTTGGAGATGTTCTTCAGGTCCAGAACCTCGCAGTAACTGCAGTCATCGTCAGTCACACCGCAGCTGATCAGAGAGTCATTGCTTGTAAAAGGCAACAACACGTTGATGCTGAAAGTTGTGTTCCCCTCAGCTGTGTCAGAAACCCGGTGAAACTGCACATCATCCTGCTGGTTTCCGGTCTTTATTATTCCCCTCTGGGTCAGACTGTTGATCAGAGTCAGGTCGTGGCTCAGCTGGTACAGCCTCTCCTCTGTGGCGATGTAAACCGTGTTGGAGGTCATGGCGAATTGGCGGATATTTCCATCAAATGTAAAGCCTCCATCCTCCACCAGGCACAAACTCGGTTTTCCCAAAAGAACAGAAAGCAGAGCGAGCAGCAGGATCATCTTGTAGCAGCAGTGATACTTGTGTCTGGGACACCGTCATACACTGAAGGTCTGCACGGCACTCTGCTCTGAGACACAGTGCCTCTAGACTCATGCGTAAAAGCGCAGTGCGCCTCTGCTGAGAAGAGAAGTGTTGAAAGTGGAAGGAGGCCCGCCCAGCTAATAGAAAAATCAGATTCCAATTTTAGGATTTAACATTTAATATTTTCTCTCAGCTGTTTTCTCTACTTTCTGCCATGTTCTGAGAGTCTGTACAGTTTAGTGTTCATTAGAACCTCAACAAAATCAAAACAGTTACAGCACTCAGCTACTGAGAAAGCGTTTGTTGAACCTTCAGTAAGTTGTTACACACTGAAGGAAGACAATGTTCGTGCAGGTGCACACTGAGGTTTATTAATCTGAAACATACCAGAATACTAGTTCTGTGTTGCTGTTGACTTCCATTACCATGACTGGCCTGCGTTACTTTTGTAAGGGATTACTTTATCAGTCACTCATTTGTCTGAGCAGCCACTGCCACCTACTGGAGACACTGAAAATCGCCTTAGAGCCACATCAGGTGAGAGCAAATGAGCTTTTTCACTCTGTACTGTGATGTCAAAGGATACACACTGTATGGTTTTAATGAAGACAGAATATTTTCATTCGATGTGTTTTTAACATAATCTTTACATCAGTTGCATTGAACACAGGCCCACTGATCCATGCAATCACGAAGTCTGTGCTGGCTTTGAAAAGTCGCAGAACTTCCTACAAGTTCTAATGACAGAACCACTAAGGCGACATCTAGTGTCACCTCTGTGAAATTATTTTCTCAAGTTTCTGGCATCTTATATCATATTATTGATCACCGACCAATAATATGATAATATGACTTCTTCTACTCTGACAGAGACCACCAGACTGTTATTACCGACAAATGTCAGTAATAACAACCTTTTTATTTATTCCTATTTCTGATGCTAGTCTGAACAAAGTGATGGTAACAACACAACTGCGACACACCAACCAGGACCAGAGCCCCAGCCAGGAGGCAGAGCACACCCAGAACCCCAAGTCCCCAAGCCAGGGCAGCCAGGCTACCAGGCCAGTAACCTATGTCTGCCAGCACAGACCCATCCCCAGCCCTGCTCCATGCATTCACTAGAAAAACACCACCCAAGAGCCACCAGAGCCCCATCCAGGTCACGACCACAGCCCCTGGGTTGAGCCCCCCAAGAAACCCGTCCCTAGGTAACCCCCAGACATCCCAAGCCCATACCTAGCCCCAATATCAACCACAATAATAAAGTCAGGACAAAACCACGACCCCCCCCCCCCCCCCCCCCCCCCCCCCAGAGGGATTGATCTAATGTTGTGGCAGAAGCTTTATCAAGACTAATATGATCTAAAATGAATTTAAATGTTTTTAAGCATTTCTGAGACTAGAAGTTTTGGTCTAGGCTCACTGATAAATCTGCATCCCACTTTGCAATAGAAAGGCATATTGATTCACCTTTTTTGGAGAAGTAAATTTGTAAACTTCAAACCCCAAACAGTAAATTTGGGGTTTGAAGATTAAGGAATTGTACCACACTTGATGGTGTTTGTAATTCAACTGGATTAGGTTTACATTTCTTTTTTGTTATAGACTTGATAATAGACTTAGAATTAGAATTTACTATAGATAGAGGTTATAGACAGAGCTATAGAGCTTTATAAGATTTAGCAATTTAAACTTCAATTTAACAATTTGATATTGAAGAATGTTTCAGTGATTACTAATTCATGTAAGGCAAGACAAAGTGTGACAACCAACCAAGGTCTATCTCAGGCTGGACTGGGACAAAACAATTGGCCCTGGCATTTTTCATCCAAGTGGCCCAGGATGATAACGAGATGATGATGGATCGCTGGACAAGAAATGAACAAATGGGCTGCTGCAAATTTATGGCCACTGCCCAGAGGCCCAAATGTGCATTGGAAAATGGCTGATTACGAGTTCATGTGTGATCTTCCCAAATTATTACACTGGTGTAATATTTATCGGCTGGAACGCAGGAACCTCATCTTTTTCTTTGATGATACTACTGATCTACTTCTGGATTTTCATTTGGTACACATGTCACGTGAGACATATTTCAATGAATGGGTAGGAAATATCACTGGTATGGCCTTTTCAAGGATTTTAACTTAACTTTTTATTTGTGCTACTGTCTCCAGATTATACATCATAGCAAGTCTCACTACCATCTTAGTAAAATTTAGCTTTCATGCTTGCTGCTCTGCCTATGCCACCAAAATCTCTTACACCTGTCTATTCCCACTCCATCCTACCTACACTCTTCACCTCTCTTGTACACTATCCATTGCTTTGGATGGTTGACCCCATGTATTTAGTTAACTCATCTGCTTTCACTACATACCTCTATCTACCTCTCGCTGCAAATCACATAGTCATCTGTGAACATCATAGTCCATGGAGACTTCGGCCTGACCTTGTCTAAAATCACTTCACACTTCAGTGCTCTCCTGCTGATAATAATGCAAATTTCAGTTCGGAAGAAAAGAGTTAATGTGATTTTTATTACGGTGATTATTTTATTAACACAAATCCTGTGAGGCGTAAAGCCTCCAAATTCATTTTAGCCACCATGGGTCACTGATTTATTTGGCCCGTTTATGAAGAAGAACCAAAGCATTTGAAAATGGAAACTACAAAGAGAAATAGTTTCAGTTCCTAAACAGCTTTGTAATAATTTTCTTAAACTCCATGAACTGAAGCAAAAATTGCATCTTTGTCCAAATACTTGGACACAGATGTCTCAGTATTACATGTGAGAAGAACATAATTACAACCTGTTACACTAAATATACAAAAGACAAAGGATACAACAGATAAAATATTTTTTTTATTTGTGTCCTGATAATATGACTTCAGCTAAAACACATTTGCAGTAAAAAATAAAATCTTAAACAGAGAAAGAAAAAAAATATAACAAAGCAAACTCTACAGGAAGCTTTGTGATGCATATTTTGAGACAAACAGTGAACTCCTTCCCAAGAACACTCCGGCTGGTCGGTGGTCAGAGCTTATTCATCTCAATGGTGAGTCTCTTCTGCCAGAAATACAGGGAGTGCAGAATTATTAGGCAAATGAGTATGTTGTCCACATCATCCTCTTCATGCATGTTGTCTTACTCCAAGCTGTATAGGTTCGAAAGCCTACTACCAATTAAGCATATTAGGTGATGTGCATCTCTGTAATGAGAAGGGGTGTGGTCTAATGACATCAACCCCCTATATCAGGTGTGCATAATTATTAGGCAACTTCCTTTCCTTTGGCAAAATGGGTCAAAAGAAGGACTTGACAGGCTCAGAAAAGTCAAAAATAGTGAGATATCTTGCAGAAGGATGCAGCAGTCTCAAAATTGCAAAGCTTCTGAAGTGTGATCATCGAACAATCAAGCGTTTCATTCAAAATAGTCAACAGGGTCGCAAGAAGCGTGTGGAAAAACCAAGGCGCAAAATAACTGCCCATGAACTGAGAAAAGTCAAGCGTGCAGCTGCCAAGATGCCACTTGCCACCAGTTTGGCCATATTTCAGAGCTGCAACATCACTGGAGTGCCCAAAAGCGAAAGGTGTGCAATACTCAGAGACATGGCCAAGGTAAGAAAGGCTGAAAGATGACCACCACTGAACAAGACACACAAGCTGAAACGTCAAGACTGGGCCAAGAAATATCTCAGGACTGGTTTTTCTAAGGTTTTATGGACTGATGAAATGAGAGTGAGTCTTGATGGGCCAGATGGATGGGCCCGTGGCTGGATTGGTAAAGGGCAGAGAGCTCCAGTCCGACTCAGACGCCAGCAAGGTGGAGGTGGAGTACTGGTTTGGGCTGGTATCATCAAAGATGAGCTTGTGGGGCCATTTCGGGTTGAGGATGGAGTCAAGCTCAACTCCCAGTCCTACTGCCAGTTTCTGGAAGACACCTTCTTCAAGCTGTGGTACAGGAAGAAGTCTGCATCCTTCAAGAAAAACATGATTTTCATGCAGGACAATGCTCCATCACACGCGTCCAAGTACTCCACAGCGTGGCTGGCAAGAAAGGGTATAAAAGAAGAAAAACTAATGACATGGATTTATATAGTGCTTTTCAGGGCACCCAAAGCGCTTTACAATACCACTATTCATTCACTCTCACATTCACACACTGGTGGAGGCACACAGCCAGCCTTGACATATAATTGTTCTTTCAATTTTTGATAAATATTAATTGAGATGTAACGTGGCCCAGATGTACAGTAGGTGACTGTTACGAGTTCAATTACTGAGGTTGAGCACAAAACAATAATGGTCCAGAAGAGCTTCGGTCAAACAATGATTTTAATGAACACAAGCGTGGGGAGATGAACACTGCCCACAGACAGCATCGATCTCCGCCCGATAATACACAAGCAGTTGTTTTATAACATCGGGGTATTGTTTATGCGTCATGCGTCAAACAGATACAATTCATGCATAAGTTTCAAAAACAACAAATGTTCTGTTGACAACTTTTGACACATTTAAAAGGACATCTTCTCTTGACCACAAGAGGTCACCATACATTGCGCTGTGTCACTCCTCAGCCAACTCAGCTGCTTCCATGTCCATCAATGGCATCATGGGCCCGGGTCACCGATCCCAGGTCCACTGCCATCGCTCTGACCCTCTCTACCCGTGGCTCAGGGAGTTGGGAATCACATCTGTAACCGGAAGGTCGCTGGTTCGATCCCTGGGCTCTCTGTCCTGGTCGTTGTGTCCTTGGGCAAGACACTTTACCCTACTGGTGTTGGCCAGAGGGGCAGATGGCGCGATATGGCAGCCTCGCTTCTGTCAGTCTGCCCCAGGGCACTTGTGGCTACAACTGTAGCTGCCTCCACCAGTGTGTGAATGTGAGAGTGAATGAATAGTGGTATTGTAAAGCGCTTTGGGCAGGGATAGCTCAGTAGGTAGAGTGGTGGCCCCATGATCGGAAGGTCGGGGGTTCGACTCCACTGAACGGCTACCCTGAGGTACCCCTGAGCAAGGTACCGTCCCTACAC